TTTTTAAAAGTTTAGGAGGCACATGTCAACAAAGAAAAAGAACTCTGTTAGTCCAGTTAATTACGTAGTTGTCATTAAACCATTTTAAAATAAAATTAAAAAATTATTTAAATTAAAATACTTAATAAAAATTATGCATAAATTTTATTTTAATTATTATTTATTTATTATATAAAATCATTCAATTAAATTTCATGTAAAAATTTAATCGAGACAACAAATCCAACCGGATAGGAGAATTAAATTGCCATGCACCAACGAGTGGATGTGATGGCAACGTGGATTTTTTTTTTTTTTTTCTGATCTTGATGGCAACGTGGATTTTCGATTGGAGTTTAAGGTTAGATGGGCTCGTGACTATCTTCTATTCCTCGTCCAACTAATTTGGTGAGATGCGGAATAGATTTTGACGGCTCCCGGAACCTGTACGGCTTTGCAATATTCCCCATGTGTTTTTCACCAAAAAATAAAAAAAATTCCCTATGTGTTAAAATAATTTTAATTTTTAATTTTTTTAAATTAAAATTTTAAAATAATATTTTTATTTTTTTAATATTAAAAAAAAAAGATAAAAAGAGATTTTTTGTGATTAGATAATTTATTAAAATGAATAATAATAATATGATTAAAAGTAAAAAAATATTAATTTATTTACCTTGAAAATTTTTAAAAATTAACAATTAATTTAAGACAAATTTAAAGTTAAAGCATAAATTTATTTTTTCTTTTGACTTATATTCCCTTTGTCTTAAATAAATAGACATTTTTTTTATTTTATATTCAGATTAAAGATTTAGAGATAATTTCTATTTTTACTTATTTTACCTTTAAAAAAGAAATAAAAAAGAAGAATTTTTTTTTTTATGATAAGATGAATAATTAAAGTTGACAAATAATAATAAGGTTAAAGAAAGAAAAAAATTTTGTTTTCCTTAAAAAATAAAAAAACAACAATATTATTCTTGGACAAATTGTTGTAAAATAATTGTTATTTTTTAAATTAAAATTTTTTTAAAGTTAATTATTATTCTTTTTTTTTTTTCAAAAAGCAAAGATTTTAGTAAATGAGTACAAGAAATACTCAAACTCATATACAGTAATCAACACCTATTGGAATGAAAGGACAGCATTAGGAGGCTCATTTACAAAACCTTGCAACATTTGGGGTTGAGAATCTAATCAGAGAAATAGAATCATCCTTCCTTTCCTTTGTTTTTGATCCAAAGGAAGGCTTGAACCTAAATTTGATTAAGAGTCTTTGTTGAATCAAAGGATCCACCTCTAAAGATTATATTGTTCCTAGTAATCCAAATGTCCCAAATAAGAGAAAACCAAACTATAACCCAACCCAGCCGTTCACTACTTTTAGTGACTAAGGATTCATGTTGAACCAGCAATAGCAGTATAGAAACCCCACCATTGGTAGCACATTGCCTAGATTTTTGTGATAACCGGACAGTGGAGAAAAAGATGGTTGCTGTCTTCCACAAGCTGTCCACAAAAGACTACGTACAATTTGTGGCCTCCATCTCCTTAATTAATCCCCTTTTCAATAAGTTAATTTTTGAAGGAATCCTGTCAAGCAATAGTAACCAAGTCCACAGACTTTACTTGGAATCATGGAATTCCAAATCTTCTCAAAAACTTGTTGATATGGTGAGGGTTGATGTTGAATCAGAGTAGTATATCCTGAGCTAGCACAGTAGCTCCCAATTTATCTAGTTCCTAGGTCCAAGTGTCTTCCTTCCCTTTGATCAGGTTGATCTCCTTGAGCAATCTTTTTAGTTCTTGCACAAATTCTTGCTCCCAAGAGTGAAGGGTGCGTATCCAAGGAAGGTTCCAAACCCATTTGTTGCCTTCCCATCTACTCATCTGATCAACTGTGTTGTTTTTCTCTGTAGAAAGCAAATATAGTCTTCGAAAAATATGAGCAAGCACTTCAGCACTATTCCACGGATCCTTTCAAAAACTAACTTTTTCTTCATTACCAATTCTAATTTGGAAGCCATTATTCTTTATTTTTTAAGAAGACAAATATCCTTTTCTTATTTTCATTTATTGTTATTTCTTTTTTTTTTATTGTTTATTTTGGGACCAAAATTTTCTTTTTATCTCTATTTTTATCCAAATATAATATAAGTAAATATATAAATTATTTTCAAAATTTTAATATCTTAAACAACAGTTATTTTAAAAAGAGGGTGTAACAAGGCAATTGTTTTTTTACTATGGGGGAGATGCCAATAACCCATACTTTGAATAGGTCATCTTGCGAGGTCAATTCTCAATTACACTCTTTTCCCTTCAATGAATCTCCGTTAGGCTTTTCGTCTTTTCGAATATATTATATGAAAGAATTATTTTTCAGTCATTTTTATTTTTTAAATTTTGTTAGTTTTATACGTGGAGTATTGTTGTCTTGGGTTGCGAACTCAGTCTTTTTAATAAATTTAGTCATTCATATTTAATTTGACATGGACTGAGTTCGCAAATTAAATAGGAAGAGGCCTTAATTCACATATTGATTCACTTTTATTTTTTTTTTTTTTTACAGAAACAATGTTTAAGAGTTAGGAGTTAAAAGTTAGTATCTTGCTCTTTTGTAAGGTTCGACCATTGATCGAAATGCAATCCACCAGTAACCCTTTTAGCATGCAATAGTCACCAATGGGTTACAAGAGGAAAATGCTATTGATTCACTTTTAAAACTTAGAAATTATGGTTCCTTTTAATTTGGAATTCAACTCCCACTTAAGACTTTTAAAAAGTGCCCATTCTTCTTTCAGTTTTAACATTATTAAAATTATTCAAGATTTTTTTAAATAAAGAATTATGAAATTCATTAAATTATCAGCATATATATGGCCTCCTAGCAGCTTACCAAATGAGAGAAGAAAAGGGCCACTTTGAAATGATTGTGGAATTTTCTCATATCAAACAAGGTCAGTACGTTTGCGTGGCAAGTACTGTAGAAAAAAATTCCAACAATATTTAACTTATATAAAAGTAGAGTCATTGTGGATTATAGTAGGTTAAAATATCAATGTAATAATTGAACTTTTAAATTTATATTAAATTTATCTTTGAATTTCAAAAAATATTAAAAGTGTCTTTAAATTTAAATTTTCGATACCAATCTTATTATTTCTCTTTTTTTGGTCAACGGAATTGACAAGCGGCAGTTAAGTTGCAAAAAATCACACATTTAAAAAAAATAATGATGTGAAAATGATGTGGTAAAGGGCACTTGTATAAAGTGATGAAGTGGTATTTCTTTCTTTCCACAGTGCATTTTTAATTTGACATGGACAAACAAAGGACTCACGTATTTTAGAAATTATATTTTTTAATTAAGTAATTAAAAAAATATACAAGTAAAATTCCTCAAAAAGACAATGAATTAAGAAGTACTAACTAATTTATGTAATTAAGATATTAATCAATCAATCAAATAATTAACAATAAATTTAAATTATCAATTACCTTTAATTAAATAAAATCAAACAATCTAGAAGAATTGGGAATTATCTCCTCTATTCATCTTTTTTTTTTTTTTTAAAGTTTATATAAATTTCTCAACAACAATGAAAGTTTCTCTTATTATCCTAGACTTTCTTAGGAACCAATGATATATTTTAAGAAGGAAATTCTCTTTTTATTTTCTTAGCAACCAAACAACAAACCATATTGTCAAAATTATGAAAATTCTAACAAAAATTTATAAAAATTCATTATCTTCTTCCTCTTTCTTTTTCCTTTTCTCTTCTCTGTCATTCTCCTCCAAGTTCAAGAACCTAGATCTTTGCGTTCTCAAGGAGAACTCACAAGTTCTCTAAGAAAACCTCACATGTTCTCTTGGAGAACCTAGATTTGGGTTCACCTTCAACAAATCAAGGAGGGGGGAAGAGAAGGAAGAATGGGGGAGGAGAGAGAAAGAAGAAGAAAAAGAAAGGAGGAGGGAACATAAAGAAGAAGGTTGAAAATCAAAGAACTAATGCCATGTGAAAAGGAGGGCTGTCTAGATCTACACAATAAAGAACTTGTGAGAGGAGGTGTGGGAGGAGATAGGCAAAGAAATGGTGAGGAAGGAAGAGAGAGAAAGAGGTGAGGCAAGGAAAATGAATGGATTGAGGTTGAAGATGGTTATTTTCAGTATCTTATTATGTTTTTTTTAATTAATTGTGTGAGAGGACTTTTTTTAGTGTATGTAAGTTTTTTTTTGGATCATATAATATTTAATTGCGATATAAGTAGTGAAAATTGTCCAAGTAAGCAAAACAATATATTTATAAATTTTCATGTCATATTTGATGTTAAAAATCACAAAAATTCTCAAGACTCAATGTGATAGATCAACATTTCATTAATGGAAGGACCAAAAAAGTACTAAAAAAATCAAGTTGAAGGATAATTTTGGTACTTTTTAAAGTTTAAGGATAAATTTGATATAAATTTAAAATTTGAGAGACTAAATTAGTATTTTAACCACTATATTATGACAAAACGTGACTTTTGTGGTTGTGGGTTGGAAATTGTGAATCATTTAATTCTACGTTGTGCCTTTGCTTATCATGTTTCTGTCAAAATGCTTTTAAATGGTAGTGGGTATTTTTACTGTGAGGCATGGAGTTGTTGGGAGTCATTTGAACAACACAGTGGCCATTTTTCTATTTTGCAGTGAAGAAAAGGATGGGAATTTGTCTGGTTTGCAACTGCATCCTTGGTCCTTTTGGGCTTATGGCTAGCGAGAAATAATGCGTCTTTGAAGGAAAGTCATCTGATATTGAATTGGTTTTTGAAAGCATCCAGATAAGATCATTCGAGTGGATAAAGGCAATAAGGGAAGGATGGCTGTAAGCCTCACAGATTAGCTACTTGAACCAAAGGTATGTATGATACAAGGAGACCTTAATAGTGATGGCTTAGTTCATAAGAAAGTTTGCTTCTTATTTTATTGATCAAAATTTGATTTTTTAAAGAGGTTAATGAAAAGATAATTCCTTATAAATTCTTTAATTCATAAGGAAATAATTTGTTTTTAATTCACATGTAAACTTTTTTCTTTTATTACAGTATTGCACAAGGGAAGACATACAAAAATATCTTCAATTCCGATCCTTAGTTGACAAACTACTTGCAAACTTAGACTTAATCTAGGACTGTTATAGTTTTGGGTTTTTGTTTGGTTAAATATCAATTTTGGTCCCTCACCTTTGAATTTTTATACAATTTTATGCACTATTTTTGTTCTTCAACTATAAAAAATGTCATTTTTTAATCTTTCATTAGTTACTCCATTAAGTTTGTCTATATATGCATATTTCTTATCCTTGAAATTTTAAATTAAAAGATAAAAATTATGTAAAATCTTAAAATTAGAGGCTAAAAATGTGTTTATATAAATAAATTTAATGAATTAACT